AAGGCCTTTTGGATTGATTGAAAAATAATATTTTTATTTTGATATTCATCATTTATCAAATCTCTAGATTTTTTCTGCAATATTTAACTCAAAACAATCCGAAAACATTGTGAAATTTGTTATCAAAAGAAATCCCAAAGATTATCGGCGATATATTGTGTGTGAATAACTATGAAGTGTGTTACCAAAAAAATTGATAATTAAAAGATTTGTTATCAAAATCCGAGATTTGTTATCACAATTCGAGATTTGTTATCACAATCAAATCAAATTGGTTAACAAAATCCGAGATTTGTTATCAATATTAGATCAAATTGTTACCAAAATATGGGATTTGTTATCAAAATCCAATCAAACTTGTTACCAAAATCCAATTAAATTGGTTGACATGTAGGCCCCGTTGATAATGCTTATATTAGTAAGTCAATAATTAATATTTTATTTTGAAGATTATGTGTCATATCAATGTAATATAATTTTTACCTAAATTAATGGAGTTTGTTACAATTTAATTCGGTAAGGCTTTTTGGATTGATTGAAAAATAATATTTTTATTTTGATAGGTATCATTTAACAAATCTCGAGATTTTTTTTCAATATTTAACTCAAAACAATCCCAAAAAAAAAAAAAAATTGTGAAATCTGTTACCAAATGAAATCCCAAAGATCGGTAATATATTGTGTGTAAATAACTATAAAGTGTGTTACAGAGAAAACTGATATTTTAAAAGGTTTGTTATCAAAACCTGAGATTTATTATCACAATCAGATCAAATCTGTTAACAAAATCTGAGATTTATTATCCAAATAAGATCAAATTTGTTACAAAAATTCGAGATTTTTTTTATCAAAACCCGATCAAATTTGTTACCAATAATCGATTAAATTGGTTGACATGTGTGGCCCATTGATAATGATTATATTAGTAAGTCAATAATTAATTTTTTATTTTAAAGATTATGTGCCATATCAATGTGACATAATGTTTACCAAAATTAATTGAGTGTGTTACAATTTAATTTGGTAAGACTTTTTGGATTGATTGAAAAATAATATTTTTTTTAATATGCATCATTTATCAAATCTCGAGATTTGTCTGCAATATTTAACTCAAAACAATCCAAAAAAATTGTGAAATGTGTTACCAAAAGAAATCCAAAAGATTATTGACAATATATTGTGTGTAATTAACTATGAAGTGTGTTACCAAAATTAAAAATAACAATATATAAACATATTTGTTATCAAAATCCGAGATTTGTTATCACAATCAGATCAAATTTGTTAACAAAATTCAAGATTTGTTATCAAAATAAGATCAATTTTGTTACCAAAATTCGAGATTTGTTATCAAAATCTGATGAAATTTGTTACCAAAATATGATTAAATTGGTTGACATGTGGGGCTCATTGATAAACCTTATATTAGTAAGTAAACACTTAATCTTTTATTCTGAAGATTATGTGTCATATCAATGTGACATAATGTTTACCAAAATTAATGGAGTTTGTTACAATTTAATTTGGTAAGACTTTTTGGATTGAGTGAAAAATAATACTTTTATTTTAATGTGTATCATTTATCAAATCTTGAGAATTTTTCTGCAATATTTAACTCTAAACAATTCGAAAAATTGTGAAATATGTTACCAAAAGAAATCCCAAAGATTATCGGCAATATATTGTGTGTAAATAAAAATAAAGTGTGTTACAAAGAAAACCGTTATTTTAAAGGGGTTGTTATCAAAATCTGAGATTTGCTATCACAATCCGAGATTTGTTATCACAATCAGATCAAATTTGTTAACAAAATCTAAGATTTGTTATCAAAATAAGATCAAATTTATTACAAAAATTCAATTATATTGGTTGACATGTGGAGCTCATTGATATTGCTTATAATAGTAAGATAATTAATTTTTTATTTTGAAGATTATGTGTCATATCAATGTGACATAATGTTTACCAGAATTAATGGAGTTTGTTACAATTTAATTTTGTAAGGCGTTTTGGATTGATTGAACAAAAAAATATTTTTATTTTGATATGCATCATTTATCAAATATCGAGATTTGTTCTGCAATATTTAACTCCGAGCAATCCAAAAAAATTTTGAAATTTGTTACCAAAAGAAATCCCAATGATTATTGACAATATATTGTGTGTATATAACTATGACGTGTGTTATAAAAAAGAGGATACATTAAAAATTTCGTTATCAAAATCCGAGATTTGTTATCACAATCTGAGATTTGTTCTCACAATCAGATCAATTTTGTTAACATAACCCGAGATTTGTTATCAAAATAAGATCAAACTTGTTACTAAAATTCGAGATTTGTTATCAAAATTATTTGTTACCAAAATCCGATTAAATTGGTTGACATGTGGAGCCCATTGATAATGCTTATATTAGTAAGTCAACAATTAATCTTTTATTTTGAAGATTATGTGTCATATCAATATGACATAATTTTTACCAAAATTAATAGAGTTTGTTACAATTTAATTTGGTAAGGCTTTTTGGATTAATTGAAAAATAATATTTTTATTTTGTATGTATCATTTAACAAATCTCGAGATTTTTGCTGCAATATTTAACTCCAAACAATCCAAAAAATTGTGAAATAATTATCCATGAATATCTTATGATTGATTTTATAGCTAATTTGCGTTTGAATTTGAATATATATCAAGCCATGAACATAAAATTAATTTTTTCAGTATTTATCACATGTTTTCATAATTTGAATTTCAAATTGAAAGCTCGTCGCCCATTAAAAAAATCGAAAAAAAATGTATGAATAATAGTATGAATGATATT